GTGCCGGCGCTCATTCCACCGCGGCGCGTGATCACCTTATACCAGTGCTTCTCCGTGAGCCAGCGAGCAGATGCAAGGTACCGACACCTCATTGCCCTTTTCACGCAGGACGAGTACTTCGCGATGGTGGCCGAAAACGAGTCGGAACAGGAAAGCTGGTACTTGCTGCTCAGCCGCCTCATCCTCGAGAGCAAGCGCCGCCGCTGCGGCACGCTCCGCGCGCAGCCGGACGGAGAGCCGGCCGCGCTGGCGGCGGCAGCGGCGGCGGAGCCACCCTTCTATAAAGATGTGTGGCAGGTAATAGTCAAACCCAGGGGGCTGGGGCATAGAAAAGAGCTGAGCGGCGTGTTCCGGCTGTGTCTTACCGACGAGGAGGTTGTGTTTGTGAGGCTGAACACCGAAGTGGCCAGCGTAGTCGTCCAGCTCCTGAGCATCCGTCGCTGCGGGCACTCGGAGCAATATTTCTTCTTGGAAGTCGGCAGGTCCACTGTCATCGGTCCAGGGGAGCTCTGGATGCAGGTCGATGACTGTGTGGTGGCCCAAAACATGCATGAGTTGTTTTTGGAGAAGATGAGAGCCTTGTGTGCAGATGAATATAGAGCCCGCTGCCGCAGCTACAGCATCAGCATCGGCGCCCACCTGTTAACCCTGCTGTCCGCTAGGAGGCACCTGGGCTTGCTGCCGATCGAACCGGGCGGCTGGCTCAGAAGGTCCCGCTTTGAGCAGTTTTGCCACTTCAGGGACATGGGTGACGGAGAAGAGATGTTTTTCACCAGGCGCTTCATAACACCCAGCGAGTCCGTGCCCCCCTCCGGGCGGGGAAGACTGCACCTGCCCAGCGTGCACAGGTCCAGAAGAGCGATTTCAGTGCCAGCCAGCTTTTTCCGCCGCGTGGCACCCGGCCCGGCACATCCCCCGCACCCCGCAGAAGCCCCAGACGATAGAGCTTGCCTGTCTGCTGAAGTATCTGGCGCTGGCTCTGGCAACTCTGAGGAGGAAGGCAATCTTCAGGACCAAGAGGATCAGGAAGAAAGTGAAGGCGACTACATGCCCATGAACAATTGGGGCTCAGGAAATGGCCGGGGATCCGGAGGTGGCCAGGGCTCTAGTGGCCAAGGTTCCAGTAGCCAGAGCTCAGGAGGAAACCAGTGCTCAGGTGGGGGACAGGAATCTCGAGGTGGACAGGGCTCAAGCGGCAGCCAGGGCTCAAGTGACCAGGGCTCAGGGGGCCAGGGGGCAGGAGGAAACCAGCGTTCAAGAGATGGCCAGGGCACCGCAGGTGGGCACGGCTCGGGTGGAGGCCAGGGACCTGGAGGTGGGCATGGCTCAGGTGATGGCCAGGAACCTGGAGATGGCTCAGGTAATGGCAAGAACTCTGGAGGAAGCAAAGACTCAGGGAGTGGGAAAGGGTCTGATGGTGATGCTGAACGTGGAAAATCTCTAAAGAAAAAATCTTACTTTGGCAAATTAACTCAAAGCAAGCAACAGCAAATGCCATCACCTCCACCACCCCCTCCACCACCACCCGCAGCTGGAGCAACTGGTGGAAAAGGTAAACCTGGGGGAAGATTCCGACTTTATTTTTGTGCTGACAAAGGAGCCACTAAAGAACACAAAGAAGCCAAAGGAGTGACAGATGCAGAGACTCCAGAAGCCGCAGCAGCTCAGGGTCCCCACAGAGCTAGAGCTTTTGATGAAGATGAGGATGATCCATATGTGCCAATGAGGCCAGGGGTGGCAGCCCCTCTAGCAAGCTCCAGTGATTATATGCCAATGGCTCCTCAAAATGTCTCTGCTTCAAAAATGCGCCACTCTCGATCACCTTTTGAAGATTCAAGAGGCTACATGATGATGTTTCCCAGAGTGAGCCCACCACCTGACCCAAGTCCTCCAAAAGCACCTGATCCTAATAAAGAAGACGACTCAAAGGACAATGATAGTGACAGTGACTACATGTTTATGGCTCCTGGAGCTGGTGCAATTCCAAAAAATCCCCAAAATCCTCAGGGTGGCTCTTCCTCCAAAAGTTGGAGCTCCTACTTCTCTCTGCCAAATGCTTTTCAGAGCTCACCTTTGGGACAGAGTGACCACAGTGAGTATGTACCAATGTTACCTGGAAAGTTCCTGGGTAGGGGCCTAGACAAAGAAGCTTCCTATAACTGGGGCTCCAGAGATACAGCTTCAAAGTCTTCATTTGAGGGGTCATTCTCAAAGCCTGGAGATGGGGGGTTACCTTCAATGCCTTTGGATGATGGGCCCCCAGAGAATGAGGCTGAGAGATCTAACCTACTTCCCTTTATTACAAAAGGGAATGAAATCAAGCCAAAACCACAAAAGCCCACACATGAGCAGAGAGAAGCTGACAAATCTAGTGATTATGTCAACATTGACTTCATTAAAGGAGACAGCTATACACCAGATCCCTCTACTCAAGGACTGCCAGATTTGCGGGGCATAATTGCTGACCCCAGACAGTCAGCCTTTTCTAATTACGCCAATGTTGAGTTCGGAGTGCCATTTCCAAATCCAGCAAATAACCTCTCAGATCTTTTAAGGGCCATACCAGGTGCCAACTCCCTATTTCTGGAGGGTGCTAGGTGGCATCTTCCTCTTTCCCCCAGTGCTACAGGTAGCAATGAGGAAGAGGGTGACTACATTGAAGTGATTTTCAATCCAGCGATGACACCAGCCGTGCCTTTTGCTGACAGTGCCATTCGCTATGATGCTGAAACAGGTCGAATCTATGTTGTCGACCCATTTTCTGAGTGCTGTATGGACATTTTTCTGTCCCCCAGCCGATGCTCTGAACCACCGCCTGTAGCCAGGCTGTTGCTGGAGGAAGAGCAAGAGGGAAGACGCCCACAAAACCATTCGCAAAGTTTCTTTGCAGCCGCTAGAGCTGCTGTCTCGGCTTTTCAAACTGACAGCCTCGAGAGAGACCCCTCCTCCGCCTCTGCCCCAGCTGCCGCTTCGGCAGGAGAACCGACCTTAGCCGTGGGTCGGGCTTTGGCTGCGGCCTCGGCACTCGCCGCGGCCCCGGGCATCGGCGCAGCAGCCGCGCGCTTTGAAGCAGTCGCGGGACTCGGCTCCGCCTCCGCCCGCTGGCTTCAACCTGTTGCTAACGCTGCTGAAGCCGAAGCAGCTGTAAGGAGGGCCCAAGACTTTGCCGGTGGCTCCAGTCCTGGAGCTCCAAACCTGCCAGCGTATCTTGCCAGAGGCGAGAACGCGGCTGGCCCGGCTGCCGCTGCACCACCACCTCGCCGGCGCCGGATCCCAAGACCCCCGGAGAGAGAAGATTCTGACGACGACGACGACACCTACGTGAGAATGGACTTTGCCAGACCTAACAACAAGAAGTTCGACTCTCCCAAAAAAGGTTGGTAATGAATCAATGCACTACAGTCCACAGTGTTAGGGATACTATTTCACTGTTGCTATTTGACATGAAGGGTAGAATTGTTTTGATTATTCTCATAACGCCTTTTTGATCTTTGCAAAAATATTTTTATCTAATCATCAATGTCTCTATCTGGATAGAACCGATTACCATTTCAACATTGGTTCTACTTTTTAGGATTAGTTAAAACTCAAAGATAGAATGAGGATGCTTTTAAATATCCTTTTCCATCACTAAATAATAATGCAAAGCAGGACACCATAAATTGAGTTCCATCAACTTATTTTCAAATCGGCAACTAAAAGCTGTTTTTCTACAAATGCCCAATTTAAGTGTTGGAAACAGTGCAGAATATTAAGTAGTAAACAATCAACTATTTTTGTTTGGGGAGGATAGTTTTCTCTTTTGAAAGCTACTTTTTAAAAATTAATCACTGTTATGTTAGTTTGCTGTGATTTACCAAGGTTAACTCTCAATCATTAGCATAAATATCGGGGGAGTAGGGGGAACAAAACATAAATAATCCCAAACAGTGGGTGATTGAAAGAAGACCGTATTTGGCTCTGGAATGTGTTTGTGTGTTGATTTTTTTTTGTTTTTACACAGGATAAATTCCAGAAACCTTGTGTGTTCCTTTTCTCTGTCACTAGTAATGACAGGCAAGTTATATTTGCTGTGCCTCATTTTCTTCTTTTAACCTACCACCATTCCAAAAGAGGGTGTAGTGACAACTTGATAATGAATAGAATATTGTTTCAAAGGTTTAACAAATATTTTAAAATTGTAATCGGTGTATCTTCAGGGAAATCAAGGGAAGCAAGATAAGGCTGGAGAAAGACTAAACTCCAGGGGCAGCCCACCCTGGAACAGCGGAAGTTTTTAAAGGGCTACTTTTCCAAAGCAAGAAGTAAGCGTGGGAGCTGCCATACTTGGAAACAAGACTTAGAGTAAATCTGTGTACAACATTGTGCAGTGTCGTCATCAGTGTATCTTGAGACTTTCTCAAGAAATGATGGCAGAAAATGATGATTCCATAGTCTCAACTGCCTTCTCTCTTTAGTAGAATATGCTTTTTTTCCCAGTGAAGGGAAAGGATGGAACCCAACAGTTTTCATTCCAGTAGTCAGTTTAGTGAAGATTTTTGCTTTGCTTGCTTTGTGGAATGCCTTTGTGATTGGATCTCTGCCCACTGTGCTTGATCAGGCAGAACAATTCGGGGACTGATCACCACAGTCACCTAACAAGCTCCCTATTTAGTGCAGGTGTAGCCCCCCCCACCTCCCCTTTCTCCCCCGCTATAGAAAATTTGCCATACAAAGACTCACTTTTGCAGCACGGACACATTAAAAGAGGGATCATTAAAATGACAAAAGGATGCTTTGGCTTGCCAAAGGATTCAATTCAGATCTCTTTTAAATGTGAGTCCCTCCCTAACATACACGCGAACGCACGCACGCACACACACACTCACTCACCACTACTACCATAATCATGCATTTAAAATATACAATTTCACTTCCAAGAATTTAACTCAAGTTCAGCTTTTCAAGAACAGATCTATTTTGTTTTGTAAAATACACCTGAAACTTGGTCTAAAGCTATTGTTTGAGCCTAACTGCTGAAAACACCATTGGTAATTTTGATGTAGATGATATATACTTGCCTGTGTCCCTGTGGAACTTTCAAAAGGATGCGTTTTCACAGAGGTTTGCCTGTACTTTCCAATACTCTAATTTTTGTGTAAGCAAAGATGTAAAATAGTGAAATCTTAATGTTCTTCAAATAAATCCAGCTTCCCAAGGATTGTGTAGACCCAATGGTCATTATTTTAGCATAAATTACTGATTGATCACTTTGTAGCTATTTTGGAGATTTAACATTCTCTAAAATGTATTGTTTATTGAGGAATGTTCTAACTTTATTGAATGACTATGGCAAAAAGGCTATATTTCACAGGGAGACAGGTGCTTAGGTTGAAATAAGAGAATCAATGTGGAAGCACTTTGGAACATTACACATTTTACAAGTGTAATTTCTTTTATTGTGTCATTGGATTAATACTGGAGTTAAATTTCAGCAGTTTAGACTGATGATTTCGTTTCTTACAAAATAATTGGTTCCAAGGGTGATTCCTGCACATAGTTTGCTGATATATATATAAAAGGAATGATGGGGATAAGGGTGAAACAACCCATTGTACAAAACTACTTTGGTTATTATTTTAATGGAAATTGTATGGTAGAATGTTGTCTTTGAAGTATTAAGAGCAGGCTGAATAATTCTGATTTTTTTAAATGATAAAGTTATAGAATAATTTTTACCCATTTCTAATCTCTCTTCATCATTCTAATATTAAGACAAAAAAAGATCATATCAGGTAGCAAAACAAAATACTTTGACAGGGGAATAAAGACACAGTCTTTATTATGAGTTGCATCTCAAAGAGTAATTTTAATTTATGGAAAGTTCTTAGAACAGTTTCAGGCAACAGTAAGTTCTATACATGAATTATTGTATAGTTATTATCATTGTTGTTATAGCTGCTACAGTTATTATTGCATTTAGAAACACTAACCTAAAATAAAATTCTCTTTCCTCAAATCCTACTTTCCAGTTAGATTTTACTTATATTTTGAATACTTTACATAGTTGTTCAGAGCTGAGATCTTTATAATTGAGATATGTTTATAATTTAAGTGAAGTGAGATTGTAAGTCAATGAGACAGCTTTTTTCATGTAACAGAAAATTAATACCTAATCCCATTTACCTCTAGTCACATTGCGTATAAGTAAGCGTTTTAATGGCATTTGTTCAAGTCAATTAGAAAGACAGTCCTAGAAATATAACATGGACATGAACTTTTTTATAAATGAAATAATTTTAAGTCATGTGTTGAAGATGAAGTCTTCACATTTTAAACATGGGTTATAGGCATTAACATTTAGAAGGAGAATGTCATTTCTTATGTAGTCTAGTCTGATTCCTAACCCATCTATTATTATTGGTTTGTTTTACTATCTTATATAATGTAGCATTCATAGTTCAAAATTACTTGAGGTGAAAATTTTCCTGATTTTTCATTCAAGAGGTAGGAGAATGAAAAAGGGCAGCTCTGGGAGGGATGAGAGAATTGGTCAGCCAAATTAGTAGCGTTATGATAGCACTTGGTATTAAAAAGCAAAAACAAAACTAGTAATTAACTTTTGAAATGTTAGACACTGTTATTACCATGAAGGAAGCCTACGCTTCTTTTGAGTGTACTACTGCTATACCTGTTGCTATAAGTTATAGGTACCAAGAGCAAACTGTTTCTATTGTATTGAACTTATTTTTTATAAATTACTAGAATAAAATCTTCATGTAGCAGAGATTTTTCCAGCCATTGTTGCTGGGTCGCATATTTTAGGCAACACTCAACCCCCCAAGTTGGACAGTGTTTGGAGTAATGAGGTATTTGACCTCTAACAATTAAAGAGGACCTCATTCAATTAGAGGTAACTAAAGTTGTTGGCAATCATTATTCATTTGTATTCACTCTATTCTAAGAGTGATGCTTCCAGGGTAAAAATTTCAGCCACTAGGAAAATATCTATTTTAAATAAGGACTAGGACTTTAAGCACCCTAGAATATCATACATACCTAAAAACTCAAACAAGATCTCTTACTCTCTTTTCCTCTCCAAAATTGCCATACATAAATAAAAATACTTCGGAGTCACTGGCAGTGAGCTGTTTTGGGAACAAACTCAGCCTTCTCAGAATGACCCCCAAAAATTTCATGTGGAAATAGATGTGGCTGACCAGTGTAGGGAGAAGCAAGAAATAATTTGTGTGACTTAAAAGAGACTGTTTTTAAATTGTCAACTTGTTGATTGAGGAAATGCTTTCCAGTTGCAGATTGTCTTATAGTTTTCAAGGCACATTCATATTCATTGTTTTACTGATGAATGGTAAGTACTGGAAATGAAGCCCGTGTTGAGAATTTTCCCGTGGTCCATAAGGTAAGTGGCAGAGCTGAAAATCTAGCTCATACACCTGATTTCAAATTCAGTGCTCCACCCAGCACACCATGCTTCTCGTTAATTGGGTGTTTAATTTGTTATTTTCCCATAGATGAAAGCTCGTTTTGTAGGAAAAGACTGGGAAAAAATTACAAGTTTGCTTGAATTTGATAGTAGCAAATTTTGTTATAATTTATCCAGTCTTATAAATGTGGGCCATCTGCCCAGACTTGGTTTTCATTACATTGAACTGTTTGCCATGGTTCTTAGAATAAAAGAATTGAACCTGTGCTGCAACTGAATGTTTAAATCTGATCTGGGGTGGAGTTAGCTAATCTTTATTTCCCAAACACAAATAGTATGTGCATCTGTTTAGATCCCACAGAAACACTGAAAGGAAAGAAAATGAACTGAGGGTATATCCAGTAAGCTTCTGTTAATGGTGATTTCTTTAACCGACGTTAGATTTCTATGGTTTTCCTAGTAATCCAGTGAAAAGCCTTCATTAATTGCTTTCTTTTGTATAAAATCTGATATTCTAATATAGATCATCACAGTGGGCAAAACAGGATAAAGTAAGACAGGTGGAAGAAAAAGCACTGTAGAAGTAGATGCTCTTCATTTGTTTTAAAAGTAAACTTGCTTTTGGCAGTCAGGCAAGTAGATTTTAAAAGCCTTGAAAATCACATCCTCTCCTTGGGACATAAAAATCTGTTTAAAATTAAATTCATTTTGGTATAGCACCTTTTTAAGGCTTTAAGACTATGTAAAAAATAGCCCAGGTATTTTATTGGCAACATTGGAAAATAACTTTTGTAAAATGCTTAATTAAAGTCTGCAGTATGTTTTATCTAAGAATGACTGCCGGACTTTTAGCTGGTGAGGATCATTTGTTAGAAAACATTGCTTGGTCTTGCATGAGAAATGGGAAATTAAAACACTACTTTTTATAATAATGAAATGAATACATTGCAATGCACTCAGT